CCAAGCTTCTTGCCCATTTTACAGCCCAGGAATATTTTTCTTAAGAGCCTTCGAACCATCTCTCTGAAATGTAAATATCAAGGAAGACTGTATCCTTATCTCCCTGTGACGTGGGAGTTTGCGCACTTGGTTTCAGGCTGTAACCACGAGCTTATCACAAAAATGAGAATTTTTATTATTCTTTGAGACGAGGGCAGTTAGGTAGCACAGTGTGTACCCCCCTTGCCAGGTGACCTTAGGATGAACTGGGAAAGAATGACCTAGGAAAGGTGTAATCAGATCCTCTTACCTATTAAGTGGATGGTAATTTACAAGCCACCATTAATCTGGGGAGCATGCACGTAATGCCACGTTTGGCTGTATGCAGAAGGGGGGGATTTTGCTCTTAATCTCATTAGCAGGTTATCTGTGATGTGCATCACTATCTGCTTGAATGTTTGTTCAACAAAACTGTTCTTCGTCCCTAGAGTGGTGGAGATGATTTTCTGGACTGGCAAGTGATTTAAATTTTTCTCCATTCCTAAGAACAGCTTACCAATCACCTGTGCAGTTGTTGGGTCTCATTCTACCTGATTGGCTGGAAACTTTACCAAGATCTGAATGTCATCAAGGCTGATATTCACATTCTTGGGGCCAGGGCTGAACTGTTAAGAGCCACACTGGGGACACAGCCTGGGACAGCGGCTGAGGAGACAGAGAAGAGACAGATTTGAGAGAGATTAGAATCAATGTTTTAGAAAAGAAAATTGCTTCCCTGTTCCCCTCAAAAAATTTCTTTGAAGAAACTGATGTACAGAGAACTTAACCTCTGTTGGTTAAGCATCTGATTACAAAGAATGCTTCCCAACACACTTATAAAAGCCCAACCCTCTCTCCAGGCCCCATGGGATCTAACAGAGGTTAGTGTGTGCAGGAGTTGAAAGCACAGAATTTGGAGCCACCACCTGATTCCAGTTCCCAGCTGCCCAGCTGAGCCCCTCCCCATTCCCTGGCCTGCAAAATCAACGGCACAAAAACAAAGTGGTTGTCAGCTGCTAGGTTTGGGGTTCAGTTGTTACGCAGCAATAGGAACTGATACATATGAACTGTTTCACCTAATAGGAAGATCTATCGTTATCCCCACTTTATGAGGGATGGGGGAACCCAGGCATGGAGATGGTATCCTCTTTGGGGCATTTGGATACAGATGGGGAGGGAGAGAGAGGTGGCAAGGTTGGCAACAAGTTCCAGTTTTGCAGGAACGGAGGGATGGGCAGCTCTTTAAGCAGGAACCACTGAGAGAGGACAAGGTAGATCGTGGGGGGTGGGAGTCAGGGGTGGGTTATGATGTCCCTTCCGGATAAGATGAGTTTCAGGTGCCCAAAAAGGAATGTCAGATGAGCAGCTGGTTAAGTGAGTCTCGATCTCAGAGGAGTGGGCTGGGCTGAAGAGAGGACTGTGAACATTTAAACTGGGTTTGAATCGCCGTTCCAGTATCTGCCGCTGCTGGAGGGAAGGTGGAAACAAAGCGAGGAAAATTCCACTGAATTTAGAGGCAGGAAGGTCCAGACTCTATCCCAGAACTGCCAGATGCCAGGGGCTACTCTGACCCTTTCTGTTTTAATGACGGCAGTAGCAGAAGCAGCGGAAGCTGTATTCCCTTGAAACCCTGACCCTCGGGACCTCAGATGTGACTGTCTTTGGAAATAGGGTCTTTAAAGAGGTAATTAAGGTAAAATGAGGTCATTAGTGAGGATCTGAATGCAGTATAACTGTTGTCCTTATAAAAAAGAGATTAGGACACACACACAGAAGGAAGACCATGTGAAGACACAGGGAGAAGACAGCCATTTATAAGCTAAGGGGAGAGGCCTCAGAGAAAGTCAACCCTGACAACACCTTGATCTGGGACTTCTAGCCTCTGGAACTATGAAAAAGTACATTTCTGTTGTTTAAGCCACCGGTCTATGGCACTTTGTTATGGTAGCTCTAGCAAATTAACACAGCAGTACCACACTTTCAAAACAAAGAACATGGAGGTGAAATTCACATAACATAAACATTTTAAAGTGAATGATTCAGTGGTATTTAATACACTCACAATATTATGCAAGCACTACCTCTATTTGCAAAAAAAACATTTCCATTACTCCAAAATAAAACCTGTACCCGTTAAACAGTTTCTCCCTGTTCCCCCATAACACATCTTTTATCAAGCACTTTCTCTGGGTCAGGTACTGTTCCATCCACTTCACATAATGTACTCATTTAATTCTCACAACAGTCCCAGGAGGCCGACATTCTTATTACCCCATTTTACGGATGAGAAACTGGCTATCAGAAAGGCTAAGTTACTTGCTCTAGCTAAACGGTTAGACAGTTGGCAATCAACAGGTAATTACTGAGAAGCTGCTTCTCTGCAGGGCCTGGGTCAAGTAACTGGGCATGCATAGGTGAATCAAAGACAGTCGTGATCCTGAAGTTGCTTCTGATCCAGCAGGAAAGACTGAACGGTCTTTAAGTAACTAATTGCAAGACTATAAAATGCTGGGAAGGAGTTATATCTGGGGCTGGGGCTGGGGTGAGGGAAGGCAGGGCATCTGGAGAGGTTAAGCTAAGGCCTGAAGGAAGGGGAGGAGGAGCAAGGAGGAGGATGTGCTGGTGCAAAGCACATTCCAGACAGTGGGAATAGCATACATATGAAGGCCAGAAGTGGGAGGAAAGAAACCAGCTTGGTTACAGGGAGGCTTGTGAGGGAAAGAATGGCTTCAGATAAGCAAGGAGAGGTAAACAGAGATCTGTCCCTTTGCAACAATGTTAGGGATTTCAGATTTATTTCTAAGGGCAATAGGGAGCCATGGATGGCTTAACACCATCCATTAAGAATAACTTGACTAGTTCAACTCTGAGCATTCTGATTCCCAGGTTGGGGGAGAATACTATATTGAGCCTCCATGGACTGACAACAGATTATTTTGTAACTCTATGTCTCCCCACCCCCTCATTGGACTTTGAGCTCCAAAGAGGCAAGGACACTGTCTTATTCACCTCTATATCCTCAAAGCACACAGTGCAAAGCTTGACACTAAACTGAGTTTAAAAAAAATTAGTAGATGCAGGCACAGGAGTAAGAGCATGCCCACCCACAGTTGAGTGGGAACTCCTGTTTGGAGGATTCTGTCCAAGCTCTGTTACTTTTTGTCTCTGACTTTGAACCAATGACTCCCACCTTTATGAGCCTTGTTGTCCTTATCTGTAGAATGAGTATAAATATAGCACCTAACATAGAAAGCTCAAATGAGGAGTCCTTGAAGAACATATGTAAAGTGCTTGGCACAACACCAACTCAAGTATATTAAGTTTGGTAATATTACAGCATACCGGTTTAGAGCACAGTGCAGCAGAAGTCAAGCTGATCTGGATTAGAATCTAGGACAAGGGACTCTCAACATGTCTACTCATCTCCCTGAACCTCAGTTACCCCATCTGTAACTTGGGGAGAATAACAGTTCATAGGGTTATTGGAAAGGTCTGATGAGCTCATGCACAGGATGCATTCAGCATACAGAAAAAAGATGGATGCTACTATTATTGTCCATTCACAGCTCCGGGGCCCACCGAGCATTTGTTTTCCAAACCTCATTTCCTTCCCCTGGCCGCGGCGGCGCAGCCATCGGGAGCAGCTAGGAGCGGGGAGGTGTGGTCATGGGCGTGGGCGGGGCGACCCTGGCACCCGCCCCTCGAGGCGGGTGGGCGGGGC